TTTTCGATTTACACGGTTTTTCATACAAAAAGCCATGATTTCGATTTACACGGTATTCTGAGGAACCGACCTTCCGTGTAAATCGGGGGATAGGTGTATACAGTTTAGTCTGATTTTCGCAACTTTACAATAGTTACTGAAGTGCAAAGGTTGTAACAGTGGGCAGCGAGGAATAGGCTTCAAACTTTATATTCAGTGTCCCTATAAAGAAACCTACATCAATTCTTCTCCGTTGACTGATAGATAAAGCATTTGAAATTAACAGTGGATTGGTTTTTGCTATAAGAATGGTTTACGTTGGTATCAATGACATAAAAAGTTTTTGCGGGTTGATAGATTAGGGTTATATACATGAAAATTTCATCGAAATTGGTTAATATTGGTATGAGCTACAAACGGTTAAAAATTGTGAAAATCGCACTATTTTACCACTTTCAGCCTGTAACTATAATAAATCTGAAGATTCTTACATCTTTCGATGCCTGTCGCTTGTTTCTGCATCAACTGATTTCGATGAAATTTTCTGCATGTACATACATATATAATTGATATAAATCTTGTTGGATTATTAGGAGAAATGAGTATGTGTCTGTGTAATAGTAACAGCAAAAATGATCAACATACTGAGACAGATTAATATAAATATACATATATAGAAATAACATAGTAACCATCTGTTTAGTATGGGTGACGCTGATACGTTTTTTTTCTCAGCGTCTCGTCGATGTTTGTTTGATTGATTGCGTAGCGACGTGCCTTCCTCGCGTCTCAAAATAAAGAATATTCATAATTAAAATAATATTTTTTCATTTATTACCATAATCCTAATAAATTTGACAAAACATTAAAAATGGCCGAGAAATAATGTAGTTATTCTCTTTACTATTAACTAATCTATTGTTAAATTTATTGTACTTTAACATTCCGAACTTACATTTAATATATTGCAATTAGTTTTTCGTAGGGAGTCATTTATTTGCAACTCGGAGAAGCGTAACTTCTAACCTCGTCTTGGGGCAAGTTCTTACAGTATTGGAGTAAGTTGTTACAAAGAAAAAAGAGTTGCTTTTCAGTGAAATATTTCAATTATTGATGAAATAAAATACAATTTTATGAATAATGTTTATTTATTAAGGTTCAAATCAACCAAAATATACACTACCGCGAATTCGCGATTCTTTTGTTTACCAATAAGCGTCGAATGTTACAATATTAGATTCCAATTGGCTGGTCCGGGGGCCCAGAAAATGTATAAATCAGACATTTGTTATACATTGCCACCATTCTTGTGAACGAAGGCGTTGAAATGTGATCAGCAGCTAAAATTTTACATTGATACTTTAAAATGGCAAAAAGAATAGAAATTAGTATTGAAACTCGAAGTGCAATTATCACACTTAGAAAGGAAGGTTATTCTTTGCGGAATATTCCAAGGAAATTGAAAGTGTCATACAAGGGCGTGCTGGGTACAGTAAAACGTTTTGCGGATACTGGTAGTTTGAAAGACAAACCACGGTCAGGAAGACCCAAAATCACGTCGAGAGCTGAAGATGTAAGAATAAATATTATTTGCAAACGAAACAGACGACTAACGGCCACGGAAATTCGTGTAGGACTTAATGATAGTAGACCGAATCCAATATCTCTGACCACGGTGAAAAGGCGACTAAGAGCTGCAGGTTTAAATGGCCGTATAGCAGTGAGGAAACCATTGCTTTCGTCGAAAAATCGTAAAATGCTGTTGGATTGGGCAAAAAGTCACAAAAATTGGACACCTACGGACTGGGGTAAGGTTCTTTGGACTGACGAATCCAAGTTCGAAATATTTGGGTCGCACCGAAGGATATTTGTTCGCCGATCTGTACAAGAAAAAATGTTGCCAGAGTGTATTATACCTACTGTCAAACATGGCGGTGGTTCAGTTATGGTCTGGGGATGTTTCTCAACGGTTGGAGTAGGAGACCTAATCAAAATAGAAAATACAATGAAAAAAGAAGACTATAACCAGATACTCGAATAAGCACACATCTAAATTGTGTAAAGGGTTCTTATTGCAAAAAGAAACAGAGCGGGTCTTGAGGAATATGACATGGCCAGCACAATCACCGGATTTGAACTCGATAGAATTTTTGTGGAAAGAGCTCGATCGGAATATCCGGTTGCACTGTCCAACATCGAAAGGACACCTTTGGCAACTACTACAAGAAGCATGGAAATATTTAAAGTTAGAAATACTCGAAAAACTAATTGCCAGGATGCCCAGAATATATCAGGCTGTCATTAGAAGTAACGGCGAAGTAAGGGCGGTTTTTTTGATGAAAAGGCAATTTAAAGAAAAATATCTATTTCTTCGTATAAAAAATAATATAAAATGTAAAATATTCTACTTATAAGTATTTTGACAAATAAAACTTCCTCAATTACAAATTGTAGGCGTTCAATTTTTCTTAGAAATATCCTGTTTCTCTTAATTTACGTAGTGATTCCAAACTTTTGGCCGGTAGTGTATGTACTATCTTCTCTTTCCCGTTTTATGTTTATAAGTGCGATGTCTGGTCTGTTGTATTTGATTGTTTTGTCTGTGAGAAATGGCCAAATCCCAGTATAGTTCATATTCTTTGTTTTCATGTGTTGTTTTCGATGAGTATTTGTAGTATGGTATATCATTTTCTTCTAGATTGTACTTTTGAATACCGCTCGAAGCTAGAAAATATTTCTATACTTACCGCCTAGTTTAAGATAAGTAACTCCAAAATTTCTATCTTCTGCAGATAATTACGCATACTTTTTTTACTACTTTTGAACCTCTTACTCATCAACTTCTAGTAATATCCAAGAATGCTTGGACCTTCCCTTACTCTGACTACCTCTAAAATCAGACCTTCGAATCTTCGTTAAAGATGCGCTAAGAATTAGTACGGATTGACGTCGAAGATCCTGAGCCAGACACATAGAAACTATAGTCTAACTAAGTGCTTTAAAAACTTGTAAAATTCGTATACAAAAGTTTAGTAAAATAAAATCATTCCTTTTTTTTTTCTTCTTTTTTTTTAATACTAAACATCGGAATCTAACAGTGCCTGTTTACTATTGCTTTGTAAATTATTTTAGCTACTGTATTATATTGTCGTTCTGTGCATTCGGTCCTAGCTAATATTTTACATCCGCCTATTGTGTGTTCAATTGTTTCCGATAATTATTTACAGTTTCTACATTTGTATTCTTGTATGGTTGTGGTTTTTTTCATGTACAGTACTGTCGCGTTAGCTGACCGGGATTTCGCTTTGTTAGTTGGCCGTCGCTATCCCCACCAGTTCTTAAAACTGGCTTCATGGAGTGGATCTCCAGCATTACGTATCTAAACTAAACAAAACCTTGATATGTATTTCGTATCACTCAATGGAGAAGAAACATACTCGTGATTTCTTAGAACACTAACATCCTTGATTGCTAGCCGAGATGTAGTCCCGAAACGCGGCCGGCTAACGTTATAATACTGTATTTCCGATCATTCTTGGTGGCAATTATTTCGTCTTGTACAGCGAATCCTTCTGTCTCTAGGTATAATTTACCTTTTTGTAACCACTTATATATGTCGTTCTTACTTATGTTTTCATTGTTAACAATGCAGCAGTGTTTTCCACGTATGTATTTGTTTCTTTGCACATATATTTTTTTTATTTTCCTGATATTATCTATTGTCGTATGTATCTAAGGTGTGGTTTTGTGTAAGTTCAGGATGTGTGTAGGTTTTGTTTACATTAACTCTACTTTATGTATCATATTTTCTTTGCTGTAAAAATATTTTCTTACAATTAGTGTTTGTATTTTGTTTATGTAAAGTATTTGTATATCAATTAAACCTCTTTCTCATTCCTTTTTATTTATAGTTATTCTTTCTTTGCATGACTTGGAGCGTAGTTCACGGAATGTGGTGAGTTCTATTCGGATTAGTATATTAATATTTTTTAGATCTGTGTTGAACCATTTGATTATTCCGAAAGAATATGTTAGGGTCGGTATTGCGTATGTTGGATCATTACGAGAAATGAGTGCGTGTGTGTGGTGGTAACAGCAAAAATGATCAACATACTGAGACAGGTTAATATAAACATATATAGAAGAATGACATAATAACCATCTGTTTAGTATGGGTGGATGCTGATATGCTTGTTTTTTCTTTAGCGTCTTGTCGAGCTCTTATCATTGCGTAGTGACATGCCTTCCTCGTGTATAAAAATAAATAATAGTTTATAATTGAAATACCATCTTTTAATTTATTGTCTAAATCCAATGGCGTATGTATTTATTGTCTTGAGGAGATTTCTTGAATTGAGGTTGAATTTTAGAATAAGTTTGACTTTAGAGTATTTATTAGGTTATTCTAAATGTTTTAACCGCGATTTTAACCAGTTCATTTTGAACAAATATAACTCACGTATATAAAAATTCGAATCTCTGAGAGAAAGAAACTGTTCTTAGGCGTTTTCAACATCTTCCTGTTTCCTGTATCGCTTTTATGTAAGAAAATTGTTAAGTGAGTGGAGAAAGTGAAAATCTGTTGGTGATAAATCGGTCTGGCATTGTCATGCAAACACATAGGGCTCTTCCTGTTGACTAGAACTGATTGCTGTATACATACATACCATGTATATATACCCTGTAGTGAATTAATCCCCTAGTAGACCACAAAACTTTGAGCATGATATTTTCGGGTGAAAACTAACTAACATAAGTTTGGATCGGGGAAATTCATTAGTGCCTTTCTTTCTCTTAGAAATTCAGATTTTTATATACACGGATTTAATGCTCTTGTAATACGTTAACAAAAGTGTATCAAGTATAATGGAAATTATTTTAGATAGAAATGTTTAATTTCAGTGGAGTTATGTTTTTTCAAAATAAACGACTTAAAATCGCGGGAACGATGTTTTCAGGACGATCCATTATTATTATTGTTATTGTTATTATTGTTGTTGTAATTATTATAGACATCTAACCTTAAATATTTTACAATCTTCTGCATGCTTCTTCCAGTCCTTCTTTTGATGCTGCTTACTGCAGTAATAAACATTTTTACAAGCGCTGCACTTATAAGTGGAGCTCCTTCCACAAATTGCACAACTAGTTTGAGACCTCTCCATTGGTCGAACTTTCAATAGCTGTATTTAGAAGAATCACAAAAAATTTCCTTATCTTGTTTTTTATAAATCGTTACTCAACAAAAAATTACTAAATCACATTTTGAAGTGCACCATCAAAACTGAACTAATTAAAATTCACTAACAATAAGACGGTGCAAAAGTGCAAATGAACTTTCTTCTCCTCGGAAACAAAAATATAACTTTACTGTAAATAAAAATATAATTGTTAATAAATATAACTCAAAAACACCTCCATTCATCAGCAGTGTCGACTCTTCACGATTGTTTCAAAAAAATTCGCAAGGGACAGTCATTTTTGGTAGTGTAAATCAGAATCGCCTCTTAACGTATTGAGTGCACATCTATTAAAATTTATGTTCACTAAACAAATTAATAGTATTTCATCTTTAAAGTTTCATATTCAATTAGCATTTATTTTGAAACGTGTAATTTTTATGATAGTAGAAGTAGTATTCATTTAAAACGTAAATAAAAATTTTATATTTTTACGAATCCTCGCATTAATTCAAAGTATAACGAAGCTACAACATGTTTCTTTAATATTGCACAATATCTTAATATATACCTAGAGTCAATGTGCATATGTATAAGTAAAACCCAAAATCAATTTAATCAAAATTGTATAAATAAGGAATGAATTCATATCACGATGTAATTTTCAACATAGCTGTTCCTTAAGATATATTACTTAAAAAGTAAATTAGTAAAGTCTAAGGAAACTTTGTAAAACATACCAAACCACCAACAACTTGCTTATTTAAAACAATTATTGTGCGTTTTCGCAGAGGTATACTACAACTGAGCGTGCACCAATTTACTCGAGCAGAAGTTGAATTTCAGATTAGAATCTATTTATAAAGGCAAACGAATGTGTTTCCTATTACACGTTGCGCACATGATTATAACGCCTACATATGTGTAAGTGCGCTGAAGGTTGAGAAGGGTGATTCACATGAAAATCGCGAACAGCAAACCTCATGACTGATTCGCATAAGTTGCAGAGCGTGGACGTTACACTACTAAATCCATTACGTATATACAGGTGAATCCGCAGAAATAGGAATTTTTTGCGGCTTTCATTTTTTAACGTTTTCAATATTATATTTTCATCACAGATAAAGATAACAATTGTAACCACAGTGAGTCACAAAATTATTAGCACACGCAGGTAATTAACAGAGATATGAAAAATAAAAAGATAATAAAAGAACTTTTTGTATTTTTTATTTAAAAAATATAATATTTAGGCTAAAGGATATTTGCACTGCGTGTAATCTATCACAAGTGTTCTTAACTAAGTCTATTTTATTTATACAAATGGTTCTAGGCCTATCTGTTATTGCGACTCACTCGCGACTGACTCTTTCCAGTCTTGCTCGATTCCGCGAAACGCTTGCCTTTTCATGGCTTGGCTAGACCATTCATCGGTAGCCAATCAGGTGATTTCTTAATTACCAATCGCACCCTTTGATTCCCTGCGTTCTTGACGCGCTTTCCCGGGAACGGAAGTGCGATTTGCGCGGGAGACGTTTACCATTACAGAAGCAACACCGGGCCCCACAGAAACGCACGGTTTGTGACACCCGCTAGCGTTATTGAGGCCATAAACAAAAGTTCTAGAAACGGATGCATTGTTCGCATGTTAATTTACAAAAGGCTAAAAAGACTTCCTCAAACCGTGTTGACCATTTGCATGCCAAATGTTTCCATTTATTATATGCAGCTAGTCGCTACAAGACTTTGAACTAATGAAACTATAAGAAAAAAGACCACAAAATCATAATTTTGTTGTTCGTCGTTTAGCCAAAAGGAAAACATATGTGAGTGTAGTAAATTGACAAAAAAAAAAACTCTTAGAATCAGCAAAAAAATTTATTTCTAAACCTGTATAGCTTCGAAAGAATATAATATTTTGCGATGAAGACAAAAAAGCATTTAAGGATCTGATGGTCACCCAAACCCAAAAGTATGGAAAAACCGAACGAAGAAATGCATCCGAAGAATCTTTGTTCGTCGGTTAAACACGGTGGTGGCAATATTATAGTATGAGGTTGCATAAGTTACTACGATGTAGGAAAATTAAAATTTATTATGAAATTATAGACAAAATAATGTACTTACACATTTTAAAAAATAATTTAAAACAAAGTATCCAAAAAATAGGTACATATTCTCAACAAGTTCCAGTTATATCAAGATAACGATCCTAAATACAAATAAAAAATTATACAAAAATGGTTGCTACGCATGTCCACATGACTGTCCAAAGGTTATAAATACAGTTTTGACCCGTAATAAGCAACTCGCTCGGGGCAGGACACCTGCTTATTACGAATCAGTATGCTATTCGGCTTGACTTTGTTCTCGAACAGGATGAGAGAACATGAAGAGTAAGCGAGAGGCCCGAGATATGTATAACACGCCAGGATCGCTATTACTAGAGTGAGAAAAAATTATACATATTCTATTCTTCTTCTACTAAACGACGTCACTGTTCGTTCGACCGTAAAGATTTATGGCTTCTCACTTTCACGGACCTTTCACTTGTCCTCAGATCTCTCATTTGACGGTCGACTTCAAATAAAATAGAGGGGATAGGGAGTTGCTTATTACAAGCCATACCGCAGTTGCTTATTACGGGTCAACAATGTACACCTCCTCAGTCACCGAATTTAAATCCAATAGAGGTGGTGTGAGATAGGCTTAATAATAAAATATGTAAACATTTTAACACTAACAAAATGGATTTGCAAAGTAGGTTGATGAAAGAATGGCAAAATATTAAAGAAAATTATTTGAAAATATTGGAAAATGGGTTTAATAATAGCGTTCACTATATATTTTCTTAAATGTGTTTTTATTTGTATGGTGCGGAAGGACGTCTTTTTTCTTTGAATTTCGTAGTCAAAGTGAAGGAAACAAGAACGCAAGGGCACAACTGAAATTCTGTTGCGCATTTAAGAAAAGAAAACCAAGAATACATCAGTCTATTAGAATTTCTTTGACTAGCAGTGTTTCTCATATACATAACACAATTCATTTTTGCTTAACCGTTTGCGTCAATGCAAAGTTGCAATCTTCGTATAGCTGCATCACGTGCATGTCTCATCGTCTCTGAACTTATTCTAGCACACGCTGCAATTATCCGTTGTTTCATATTTTCTGGTACAGTGGGTACTTCTTGATAAACAACGTTTTTCAATGCTACCCAGAGAAAAAAATCTAACGGAGTTAAGTCTGGAGAGCGAGCTGGACAAGAAACTAATCCTCCACGTCCTATCCATCGATTAGGGTAAAGTTCGTTAAATGCATCTCCTACTCTCCGAGCATAATGTGCTGGACATCCGTCGTGCTGTAACCACATCATTTGGTGAACGTTTAGTGGTACATTTTTTAATAAAATCCCCAATATATTTCGTATAAAGTGTTCATATCGTTCGCTAGTAAGATTTCCATCGATAAAATGCTGTCCGATTATTTGATCACCTACTATTCCACATCAGACATTAACTGACCATTGTCGTTGATGCTCAACTTGTCGTAACCAGTGTGGATTATCGATACTCCAGTAATGCATATTATGCAAATTGAGATTTCCATGGTTAGTAAAGGTTACGTAGCTTCATTGGTGAACAGTATTGAAGAAAGAAATATTTCGTTCATTTGTATTTCATGTAGAGCCCATTGACAAAATGCGACACGATTCATAAAATCCGTACCGTGTAAGTCTTGATTGAGAGTAATATGGTATGGATGAAATTTATGCCGTGCAAGGATTCATAGGACACTTCTTCTATTGATAGCCGACTCACGTTCAATCTGTCGAGAACTACTCTGCGGGTTATGAGCTACAACGGCAAGAACACCAACTTCATTTCTTTCTTTAGTTGCTCTTTTACGACGATTGCTCTTACGTGTACCTAAATTTCCAGTTTCTCTCAATTTTTTTCACAATCTTTGAAATGTTCGGTGCAAAGGATGTGTACGGTTTGAATATCGTTCAGCATACAAGGCTTGAGCTTTTATCGAATTATGTTGCATTTCTCCATAAATAAGGATCATATCTACTTGCTCTTCAAAAGAAAACTTCATTTCGATGATAACACTGTTACTTGATTTAGCATAGAATGATATAAGACCATTATTTACATTAAAGTGAGGATCTATGAAATACAGCATGTGCTAGAATGAGTTCAGAGACGATGAGACATGTACGTGATGCAGCGATACGAAGATTGCAACTTTGCATTGACGCAAACGGCCACTACTTCGAACATCTCCAGTAATGTAAGAAAGTTTATTTTACTACCACATTTGACCTTTTATGACCTTCAATGATAGCTTGCTGAATTCGTCTCAACACCGGCTATCACATCGCGACAAAAAAACGTAGAATTCCATTTAAAAAAATAGAGATGACCTTGAAATCTCCTCTATATCTCCACCCACGCAAAAAATGTTTACATTACAATATGTCCCCCTCTATACCGTGCAAGTTTTATATATAACATTTTTTCATATTATTGTAAATAACGGAGATATTCAAGGTGGACATAGTTATTGCCCCACCCTGTATATGTACAGGGTGTCCCGTAACCGGTGATACAAGCGAGCAAAAAACGAAGAAAAATATTATTCTTTTTTTTTCGACTTATTTTTGCATATAGAGTCACCTCCTTGCCGCTTGTACCACCAGTTCGGAAACACCCTGTATATCCGCATAAGGTCGCGTTGAAAGATCATGGCCGCCTCGTTCACCAGACCTGTCACCTGTCACCAACAACGGTAGAGGATATGCAAGAACAAATTCGTGAAGCATGTGCTATACTAGCTTCGGAGACAATTCACGAACTTATGCGGATCAAACTTTCGTTAATATTCCGTTAATTATTATCTTTAGGATAAACAATGTTTAATATTTTTCTACTTGGAAATTAATGAGCTTTCTAACTGTCAGAACAAAAATAGGACATTTCATT